TTCCGTCACACGCTTGAGGTATTTGGCCAATCACAACACACTGGATAGCTGGCCAATTACAGCACACCTCGCTTTTTCAGACCGATGAGCTTTGTAAAAATCGACGCGTTTCAGAAAGGCGGGGCATAGAGGAGAAACAATAATGTACAGTATGTGGAAAATAATGTGTTTTTTGAACCTTAAACCGCATAAACACATTTAATTACACCAAATACACAAAATAATGTTATTTTTAGCAACGTCATATGACCCCTTTAAGGAACAGCCCTAATTATGCTACCTGAAGTATTGGCTTCCCTTGTACATATCAGGTATGGTGTAAATGTTTCATACAGGTGATGCGGGGTTATTTCCCATCAATTCTGGCTCTAGCTCAGGGACTCTTGCGGTCTTCAGACTGCTGTGTGGTGCCTTTTGGAGGTCACATGTACAAACAGGCCTTCACTGGCTTTGACTCCTACTGTCAGCAGGTAAGAAATGCCTCTTAATACCAGCTCACAACAAACACACTGCAGATTTATGGACACTAACATTCATTTAAGGACGTGCATTGATGTCCAGTACATGTGTGTTTGTTGTGTAGGAGGTGGTGGGCTCTCTGGTCACACACGCATGCAGTGGTGTGAGCGGCGAGGTGGATATGGCTCTTGAGCTGCTCTATGAGCTGGTATCTCAGAGACCTGCAGAGATGAGCCAGTTCACTGTTTTTGTGAAGGTACGAACGCCTGCTTTGATGTCCATTTGGAAGGAAAAAATTTTTTTTGAGTCCGTTCTTTTCATTAAGTCAGTCGGAATCAAAATCATTTTTCTTTTGTTTGTTATTATTATTTTTTATTCAAACAATTTTAGTGGAATTGTTTGGGTCTTTTCAAGTACGTAATGGTATTTAACCTGTTTGCTGGTGTGAATTGTGGGTATTGTGACAGGGTATTCTGGACTACATGGACAACCTGACCTCACAGCAGATCAGACGACTCTTCCACCTGCTCAGCCACCTAGCATTTGGACAGGAGCAGCACGGAGGACACATCCAGGTGAGAAACGCACTGCATCTTAAAGGTATAGTTTTAGTTTTTTTGCAATTAAAGGGGTAGCTGATCCAAAAATGAAAATTGTGTCAAATCTCTATATGTCCTAAACCAGGATGACATGCATATCGTCATCCGTAAGCAGCTGTCTAGCATGGTGCCCAAGTACAAGCGTATTGGTATTATTGGCGCAGTCATGATGGTGGGCAGTATGGGGGCCTGCAGGTACACTGTTTGCTGGTACATCTTTCGCTTATACACCCTCAGTAGGCTTGTGATCTTTGATCTTCACTCTTGTGTTATGTAGAAATAAACCTGAAGGCTCTCAGGGTGGCACGCTGCCCAAAGAGACACACAGACAGGTGAGTGAGATGATCTGATGGTTTGAGTGTGTATAATACTGTTCAAAAGTTTGTGGTTTTCAAGTTTTTTTAAATAAGTCTCTTATGCTCCCTAAAGTGCATTTATTTGATCAAAAATACAGTAATATTGTGGAAATATATTACAATTTAAAAATAACTGTTTTCATCATTCTAATATGCTGGTTTGGTGTAGAAAACAGTTGTGCTGCTTAATATTTTTATGGCAACCATAATACTTTTTTCAGGATGTTTGATGAATAGAAAGTTCAAAAGAATGCCATTGATTTAAAATATAAATCTTTTGTAGCATTATAAATGTGTTGCCTACTTTCACTCCTTATTTGTCACTGGCCCATGTACCACATAAGGTTTTGAGTGTTGTGGTGTGTGTGTAGGTGATGGCTCTGTTGGAGCTGGTACGCTCATGCAGTGAGAGTTCCCCTGAAGCTGCCGCTCTCTATTACGATGAGCTGGCCAACCTGCTGCAGACCTGCAAACTGGACCTTCTAGTGCAGGTGTGTGTGTGTTATTGACTATAAATAAACAGCCCCTTAAAACAGCCTTCATGTTCTCATCTTTGATGTATATAAAAAAAATTGTTTTAAGATTCTGTCTCCAAAAGGGTTTGAAATGACATGAAGGTAAATAAATGCTGACAGAATTGTATTTTAATTGGTGACCTCAAATCTGTCTCTTTAATCGAGTTATAGACAAGTAGTAAAATTCAGATGGATCTCTACATGACTGAAAGGTCTTTACATTAGTATTGTAAACTCTCTGTGATGGCTGTCATCCTCAGGCATGGATCGGGAAGAGTGTGTTAGAGGATTTTCAGGAAGACTTTGTTGTAGACCTTGGGCCAGATATATCAGGGTGAGTGACACATTCAGGGCAAATAAAGATTAGTATAATCAATATGACCTGCTTTTTTGTTGTTGTATTATCAAATCAAAGCAACTGGCTGTTTCATTTAGTCATTTAAATTCCAGAGGTTTTATGTCTCGACTTTCTCATGACCCTTTATGTGTGTGCGTGTCTCAGTCCATTTGTGTTTCCTGCCTCTGTGATGTATAATTTGGACGATGATGAGAGTCAAGGGGGAATCGCCATCAATCTACTGCCACTTATGACTCAAGACCAGCAGCCCAAAACAGACACAACCCAACCAGCTGGAGTCAAGAAAGAAAGGTCATTGCTGAATACTCTGCGCTGAACTCAGTTTAACTCTTCTGTTACTGTAGACTGTAAAACAAGATGTTTTTATATACCATAAATGATGCACCTTGATATAGAGCAAGGTTTTAATACATATAAAACCGAAACAGTAAAAATTATATACTTACTAACATTTTATGTTTACCTGCATATCATGTGTGTGTATATTAACCAAAATACAACTTGTGAGCAAGTTGTTTTTAAATTATTAAAATATTTGATAAATTACTGATATAATAAAAGTCTCAGGGGGGTACTTCAAGTAAATTTTTTAGCAGCGATACTAATATTTTCATACATATAGCTTCATCATATGTGATGTATGCAAAATTGCTGAAATTGAAAATTATTCTACACAATATTTGCTGAAAATTCACCTCAAAATATTTAACAGTCATGCACTTCAGAATTCGGTCTTTATTTACCCAAGCAGGCACTGTTGTTTGTTGATGCCAGTAATCTATACAGTATATCAACCTGTAATTTGCATTTTTATTTATTTTATCAGCGACACTGTTGAATTAATTAATAATCTCTGCAATGTTACAATCCGAATGACTCTCACAGGCGTGTGTCTCCACTTTGTCTGTCCCCGTTTTTCCGCCTGCTGAGGTTGTGTGAAGAGGTGCAGCACCAAGGCGATCTGGAGGAGATTGATGCTCTGCTAGGTCAGATACTGTACACCTGCAGTTTTTTTCTATTCTAGATTGTGTTTTGTCACGGTGTAAAAGAAAATGTTTTATTAGATGCCTCTATTTTTTCATGTTTTCATATTATGATTATGTATAAGCTGGAAGATTATTTATAACATCACAAGAGGCATCAGATGTATCTAAGGTTAAAAAGCATGTTTGGAGAGTTTTGTGCTGTTACAGGCTGTCCTCTGATTCTGACTGATATGGAGAAGGTGGAGAGTCTGTCTAAGGCTGAGAGAGAATTCCTCTGTTCTCTGCTCTTTTACACCATCAACTGGTTCAGAGAGGTTAGTACACCTCTTCAGTACAGCACAGTGCTAAATTCAGAGTGACTTGACAATCATCACTGATCAATTCAAGTTCTGATATGACTTGCCTTTTTGAAGTGCTCACTTCAGTTGTAAATTAATAGTTCATCCAAAAATGAAAATTCTGTGTTAATTTGATTAATTGGAACTATGGTTTGGAATTATGTGGTTTTTGATGTTATGTTATATAATAATTTATGTATTCTAATATGTATAGTATGCATGTTCTTTTATGAATGTAGGTGGTGAATGCATTTTGCAAGCTGAACGATCCTGAGATGAAAATGAAGGTTGTAACTCGTATTCAGAATATCACTTACCTTCAGAGTTTACTGCAAACGTGCTTGGCAGGTACCAGAGTGACTTGTAATTTGTAAATTTACTTGTTTTGTTTATTAATTTTTATTTATTTATATTAATGTATTTTTAAAAAATTTAATTTAATTTGAAAATTATTTAAATTGTCTATTTACTATATTTATTTTTATCTGTAAAAGTTAACATTGTTGTATTGTGTTAGCTACACCAGGCTACACTCCTCCTCAGGCTAACTTTGATGGAGAGAGTGCTGAAGGGATGATACCCTCTTCTTCAATTGCTCTGCCAAAGAAAGGTAAGGATGCTGGAGAAATCAGCATACTGATTTGTGCTATATATAGGGTCAGTGCTTCACTGTTTGTGTGTGTGTGTGTGTGTGTGTGTGTGTATAGAGTCATCTGGGAGGAAGAGGAAGGCTTCAGCGAGTAAGAACTCCTCAGGAGACAAATCACAGCTGAAGGGGGCCGCAGATGCAGAGGATTCCCAACAGGTAAAGACCAGACATACTCGATGTCCACTGGTTTACTGACATCTGTATGAACATCTGGTAAAGTAGACTGTAAAACCAATGTTTGAGATGAAGAATAAATGGACAATATGTTACTCTTGTATATTTTACTTCAAGACATTGAGATTTTACTATGGTGTCAGCTGAATTTTAATTTTAAAGCTCTTAGTACTTTTTACATCCCAAAACTGACCATTTTTGTTGTGGCAGGACCATCCAGAGAAAGAGAGCGAGAAGGAGAAAGAAAAGGATGCCAAATCAGGGGTCAGTCTGTCTTCGTACTGGCCATTCTTCAGAGAGCTGGATGTTGAAGCTCTGAGCGTGCTTCAGTGTGGCCTTCTGTCGCGGACACTTTTGGACACTGAGCTGCATAGTAAGGTAAAACGAGTCTGTTTGCTGGTCGATTCTCAGTACGAGTACATACTTTCATTTTATGAAAAATAATAGAGAGCTGTTTTGTGTGTAGTTAAAGGAGGAAGTGCAGTTGGGCCCTGCAGAATTGCTTTTCATGCTGGAGGACATGTGGCGTAAATTGGATTTCAGTTTGGCTTCTGCACCAGCCAAAAAGGCTCCATTTCTCAAAGTATGAAAACACACACATATCTAAACCTGTTTTGCCCAATCAAACATGTTCTTGGACAATGTTGTTCTAATCAACCAATCAGGTATTATTTGTATTATTTTATAATAAAAAAATAAAACACTAAAAACGAAAAGAATTCATATGACATAACATTGTTAAATGTAATCTTTAGCAAATCTCAAAATATTTATTTTAATCCTTTACATTAAAATGATGCCAACATTCACCAAAGTTTGGCATTATAATTATAATATAATAGTTTATTTCAATAAAAGTGTTAAGTGTAATATTTATTTTTTAAACTTTTATTTTTCATACTGTAGATTATAATGATGCAAAAATGAAGTGGCTTAATTATAATGTAATTAAATAATTAAATTTAATAACCGCTTTAAATGGAGTCTTTAGAAAATTTCAAAAAATACAATATTTTTATATTGTACTGTAAATTCGCTTAATTTGGGCATAATTATAATAGTTTAATTTAATAATGGAATAAATGTATTTTGCTTTTTTTTTTTTTTTTTTTTAAATTAAGTGAATTTTGATGGCTTTATAATTTAAAAAAACGACTATTTTAAAATTTGATAAAGAATACATTTAACAGTGCTATTAAATTAACTTAATGTTTTTAAAGATTAACTTGAATGAATGTTTGGTGACAGCAAACGTAATCTAAATGTAAAATGAGCATGAACAATTAAATATCCAATGACCCAAACCAATAAATTACAAAACATCTCCAATACCGGCTGATAACCTATATGGTACTGAAATATTTCTTGTGGTGTTTCTCTAGAGTAAGACAGACAGAGCAGTTGGCTTTGCTCACTTGCAACAGAAAAATGCCAAAGAAATCGCCACCTGTTGCATGGAGCTGCTGCCCACACTCTGCACACACCTGGAGAACTGCCACAATCATTTTCAGGTACACATGTGTTTTCAGTTATAGCCTTGTAAACATGTTCATTATTCATTAATTTTATTGCTCTGTTTGAACATTTGTCCTCACACAGACTCTGCTTTCTGAGCATCAGGGTGTTGTTGATGCTCCTGGTGTGGATGTGAAGGAACAGCAGCTCATGTGTTCAGCCTATCAGCTCCTACTTCAAGTGCTACACACCACGTTCAGCTGGTGAGCACGGACTAGTTAGTTGTTAGATGACATTCCTAACAACCTCAAAACTTTCTGACCATCTTCAATCACCTGCTGTTCATATTCAGGGCTGGCTTTTCTGGTCCAGAGCATCGTGCTCTGCTGAAGAGCGCTCTGGGGGTCCTGGCCGGCCGACTGAAGGAGGACGAGACCGATCTGACCTTGGATCAGCTCAGCAGGTGGGAGTGTCAGTGCACAAACTTCCTACTTGCTATTAGTGGGCAATTTTCAATGTAACCATCTGTATGTGGTGTTTTATATGCTCAGGCACGCTTTTGAGTACCTGCAGAACTTCCGAAGCACAGTGCCCAGCCTGAACACTGCCCTGTGTCTGACCCAGCTGCTCATTGTGCTGTCCCAGTATGGAGGATCAAACCACAGGACCTACAGAGAACAGATCAGTGCGTTTCTAGTACTGTATGCTGTATAATAATGGATGCTCTCTGTAATACATTCATTTTGAACGCTATCATTTTCCCCCAGCATCCCTGACGAGGCATTTCCTCTGCCAGGAGTGGGTTACAGCAAGTGGAGAGAAAGAGCGTGGAAACAAATACAATGATGCTCTTCAAACTCTCCTCAGGTATGTTGTGAGTTACACACAATAATGCTTAAAGGCAGAGTAAGCGATTTCTGGTAGCCAATGTTGATATTTGAAATCACCAAAACAAACACGCCCCTACCCCAAAAGGGTCTTGCCCCTATTTTGATAGCTCCGCCCCACATATACGTACGCAACCCAGGCAACGATTAGTTCTGTGAAACAAAGCAAAACCAATGTTACACCATGTCTACGGACGTGAGCGGCGCGGCAAGGAAACTGCTGCCGGGTTTTATTTATGACGTGCTGACACAAATTTCAAAGGGTTTTCAACGGCCCTTTGATCGCGTCCAGTGTA